ATTAACTGAATTTGTCAAATAAACAAGCCTATTTTCATTTCTATGATATTCCTTTGCAAACCTGCTAGATCATAACTAAAATATTTCCATGACACAGATATGTATTTTAAATATGGGATAGCAAAGAAATACTTGCTATTTATAGGCATCAACGAAGTAAGATAAATATACACGACAAGATTCATCCAAAATAAAGAAATATTGAGGATCTTTAACATAAAAAGCAAGAAACCTGGAACTGAGAGGAGGTTCTATTTTAACACAAGTGTTATTTAAGTTCATGAACACTAATTTGTATTTTACAGGAATTTTATAATTTCCACTTCTATCTTAGCCAAAACATAAAACCTTACTTCTTAACCTATTTAGTCATCCACATAAACCAGATACTGAAACTCAGATAATGAACAATGTCTTCCTCATATATGTGACTATGTTTATGTTAAAATGCGAGCATTAAAGAAATGCAGCTTTAGCAGTGACACATGGGGGATTGCTTCCCCCTAAAGAACGTTAGTAATTATTGCAACTAGAAAATTACAAACAGTACTGGTGCCTTTCCTTTCTCATTTCCTCTATTACTCTGGGTACTCAAGCCCATATACTTTGGTAAATAAAATGATCCTTGAGAGTAGCTTTGTGGTTAGTTGACCCAATTCAAGTGGTAGCATCAAGTTTGTTTGTAAGCATTTGTTTGTGTAGTCCTCTTGCCAGAAACAGATCCTATATACTCAGGGGCATTAACTGGGAGAAAATTATCTCCTTAAAGTATCCACACAAAATTTTTTGAATTTGATTCAAATGCAATTATGCTTTAAATACTTAAGACAACTATATTCCCTTTTGAGTATCCCTGAAAAACAAAACTGAACGGTGAGTGAAATCTTGTATCAAAAGCTTTTCATTTACCTATGTTGTTTAATCACAGAATGATATTACCTATCAGCTGATAGTAATAGATACTAGAAAATGTCTATGAAGGCTTATAATTAGGACACAAAAAAGATATTCTGAAAAATTCATAAGATAGGGGAATCCTAATATTTGCATATGTTTCTAATGTAGAGCATATTGTTAAGCACTTAGACACACAGTGTCTCCTTTATTCAGAGCAACATGCAATTACTCGATTTTTTATGGCTCTCTGGAAGTCTTGCAGGTCAAATAAGTGTCAGAGGGTACAAGGGTCCTAACTAACAGAGCCTGAAATACAAGTCAGGAAAAATGAGTCAACCCAGTCTCCTACAAGTGGATTCTTTTCTCTTTGAGATTCCTGATATGACTAATGAAAATTGGGATGGAATTTAATAAGAAAAATGCTGGCATGACCTTATCTATATCTGCTCAAATAGTAAAATTATAATTATGCTTCATAACTTCAGCATTACCAGAAAACCTGCTACTTTTAAATCTTAATAATCAATACTTCCTTAGTTGTTACAAATTATAAAGTAACCCTCCTTATGAAAACATGAGGTTTCTCAACTGTCAAGATCATGTCCATTTTAATACTAAGTATATACAAAATATTTTCAGTAAATACACAAGAATATAAAAGATTTCAAAATATAAATATTCTTTCTCAAATTTCAGTTTCAGAAAATGCTTTACATATCAGTCTGTTTAAAATAACATTAATTTGTTAAAACACACTGCAATAATAATGTCATTTAAATTTTCCCCATTTGTGGGAATATTATCGTTGCTTATTTGCTAAGTCTCCCAATTTTACTGAAGTAATTTATTAGGAAATAAGTCAGTAGCTTACATATTCATATCATGAATGGTAGTTGTTTTTTACCCAAAATTTTCTAAGTACATGATTTTAGCTTTAAAAAGAAGCAATAAATCCATGACCTTAGCTTAAAAGGCAATAGAATAGAAAAATACACATTATATGTTACACCACTGATTGCATGTTTAAATGCTTTCCTATTAAGCAAAACTATTTATTATTGATTTGTAGGATACTTAATATCAATGCTATGAAGCGCTTTCATTACATAATCTTCCTAAAGAAAGTAACAGGTTACAAGTAGCCATTAAAATGTCTGAAACTATCTGTCCTGATGTGAGTATATGTAGTCTTTAGGCAAATAGATAGCAATTATACGTATGTACTGATTTCACACTCAGTGTCTTTTGAAACAGACTTCTTTCCCATCTATATTTATTCCCATCCTTTATTAGGATTAGAAAACCTCAAGAAGATTCCCTGTTGGGCAACATATGTATGGTGTAAGCCAGAAAACAACTGAGGAAGTCATTTATACAATGTGAAAATTGAGGATATAGGAAAAAATATCATTGCAGGCTGTATTTCTGCACGTAGCTGGAGACTACCAGCCTGGAAGCAGCTGTAGTGTTACCCTGACCCCTGAAGGAAGGAATCAGGAGTTAACTTCACATTCAATTTCCTACACAATATGAACACCAAACCTCCAAATTCACTGGCACAATATATCAATGTTTGGGCATGTCCTGCAGAAATAAGAAAGTCACCTCAAATATCAGACCTCAAAATTTCATTCAACAATCCCACCACCTGATTTGAGGTGAGGAAATCTTTTCAAAGTTACTTAGGTAGTCTCTGCATCCTACCCCTGACTTCACCAAAATGAAATGCAGGAAATCAAACAAAACCAGAAAGAATCATCTCAGCACTCAGCCAGAAAGTCTTTTAGCCCTCTTTGCAAAATAAATGCAAAGGAAAATTAGAACTAGAACTACTAGATAAGACTCAAATGGCCAGGGTTAGAATATCAACAGCTTTCATATTTGTGGTGTGTGTGTGTGTGTGTGTGTGTGTGTGTGTGTGTGTGAGTGTGTGTGTGTGTATGATCTACTTGTGGGGGGTAAATCCTTAAACAGTGGAAGGCCTAAGAAGCTGATGTGCATCTGCTTCAAAAAAAAAAGAAGAAAGAAAGAAAAAAAGAGAAAGAAAAGAAAAGAAAAAAGAAAAAAGCACAGCTCCAAAGAAAGCATGAAGGAAAATGACATTTTCTTCTGCAGTGTTCCCTCCTCTGTATAGTGAGCACAGTGCATTTATCTCATCTCATGGTAAAAGTCTCCAATGACTGCAACATGTCTTTTAAGGCATTCATTAACTAAAACTTGAAAATAGATTGCTCTTGATTTCTAGGATTTGTGTTAACAATGAATTCGAAATCATCGTGGGTTGTTGTTTTTTTAATTTAACATGGTGTTGCTACCTTTAAAGATTTTTACTTCTCTATTTCCCTGAGGGTTAAAATGGCCCAGAACGAGGTTGTCATGGCAAAGATAAAGGTAAGAAGCACTCAGTTCTGACACACTGTGGAAGCAATCATCATTTTTTATGAGGGAACCACCAGACTGAAATCTGCATCAAGCTCTACCAGGAAAAATGCAAGAGGGGACACTAAATGGTCCTTCCCTTCAGTCTACCTCAGTCATTTCAGTGAATTTAACTTTCCACTCAGTTGAGGTCACATATTTCAACCATAGGGAAAAGAACTATGACCTTGGCTGGAATCATCAGCCCCAAAGACTCAATGGGGCACTTGTGAAACATTGCAGACACATTTTGACTCTCCACGGGTGTGGCTAAAATTGCTCCCATCCAGCCCTAAAGCTTACATGATCTGCTAGCCCTCAGAAACTCACTGTGAGAAAACTCATGTTAAATTCGCCGCAGAGATCAAGGTTTACAGGACCCTTGGAGCTAATCTCTGTCTGCCCTCCTCCTCTGTTAGCTGTTACAAGCCTTCAAAAGTTAACAGGGTGATGGAGGCTCTCTCTATACAATCATTCCATCTCACTATCGTTGACTGAAGCTCACTGATGTAATGAAGTTACATAATCACCGATTATGCACGACTTCCATCCATCTTCCTACATATCCACATATCTTCTCCCCTCCCCTTCAGATCAATCTACCAGGTGAGATTTATAACACATGCAAATGCTCCATTCTCTCATCGTAGGTACTGAATATGGGACTTTAGCATTGCAGTACAGTGCACTGAACCACGTCATCAATATCGATTTTTTTATCCCATTTCCCAGGCAGAATATGCTTAAGAATCCTGAGTGCTGTAGTCTCTAACTTTTTAGTAAAAGGGTAAAATAACAGATAGAACACATCTTCAACTTAAGGTTGAGAGAAGTGTGTAATTGACTGCATTTCCCAAGCTAGCTGCATTGCAATAAAAGGATCATCTCCACTTCCAGACCTTTGACTCCCCTGCACGTGGGTTGTTGCTTCAGCTATTTAGGGTATTGGGTAAATAATTCTATTATTGGGCAATCAAACTTAGGAAAGAATGTACGTTGGTGATATTTAAGATAATATTACTCTATTATTCTCTATTTTACTCATCATTTCAGTCTTTTCTTTTTTCCCTCTGAATGATAATGCACTAGAATAAATAGAAAAGTAGTCCACAGCACTTAATTATCTCCAATAACCAGAACCTGGAGAACAATTAACAATGATTATCACCTTAAAGTTTAGGAACTTGACAAGTGGGATATCCCTGGTCCCATTGCGGCTGGGAAATGCAGCAGAATGCTGCACTGAGTTGAAAACATGTTTCTTTTAAAGAATAAAGAGTAGCGCATTTCATTTGAAATGGGCTCTTCAGTAAGTGCTCCTTTTACCGATGCTATCCCTCCAGAATGCAGGAACCACAAATATTGCATCCAAACAAAGAGTGTCTATCCAGAATTAATCCAAGACTCCCTTCCACACCGAAATAATTGGGGAGTAATTCTTTGATTTATTTCCAGTTATACTCAGAATACACACACACACACACACACACACACACACACACACACACACACACACACACACACACACACACACACACCCAACTGCAGTTATTCCATTCAGTGCCAGTAACGGCCACATCACAGCCATCAATGCGATGCAGCAATCATCCAAGTCACCCATTCCCATTACAGACGCCCAAGTTTGCTCACGCCACTGATGGGTCTACATATAAAAATGACCTTACCCACAACAGTCTTCCAAATTATTCTCCTCTGGATATCAGTCGGTAAGGTAATTGCTGGTCATCACAATGCGTATTCAGAGAAATCCACGTTTTACTCCTGTGTTCTTTTTCTTGTTTTGGCTAGCAATTAATATTGTGAACAAGATACCCATTCACAAATGCCAAGTTCACCATAAAAGCAGATAATTCCATACAGATCTTCCCTACAAGACTGTCTCCAGTTAGTTCTCAAAGTGCCCGATTGTTTAGTGACGATACAATCCAGGTGCAGAGCACGGAAGGGGAAAAAATACTAGGACGAAAAAAAGAATAGGCAGAATAAAAAATGAGAGACTGAAGGAGGAGAGATCAGAAAAAAGAGGAGAAAAATTTTAAATGTGTGGTTTTTTGTTCTTTTGTTTTTTGTTTTTGTTTTTTTTTTTTTTAAGAAGGAAGGAAAACGGACGATAAGTGAAGAAGTCTGTGAGCTCTATGACAAGAATCGGAGTCTTGCTTGCAAATCTTCTGGATACATGTAGCCTTTCAAATCTTCCTGGTCCCCAAGTAAAATTTCCAGATCCGGGATGCAGCCATAAGAAAGAATCCTATGTGTATTTCACAAGTATCCCGCAATAACAGATCCGACGGGGTTTTCCTTGTACAGTACTGCTATGTGAAAGCACACAACCCCTGCTGTTTGGGAAGGTGTCTCCTGGGTCCTAGCTCTCTTCAGCAGACCCCAAAAATGATTTTTCAAAAGAGAGTGGGTGGGGGGAAGCAGCTTTGCGTTTATCTTGAATGATGCTAATCCTGAGCGAAAACGACAAGCAAACCGCGAACAGCACGAGATCTTGATTAATAGCCAGAATCCACTCAAAATATCCCAGGAGAAGAAGGAGCGAAAACAAGAAAGAGAAACTGCAATGCATAAATGATTCCAGTGTTTCTACAAGATCGGTTCATTTGATTGAATGCATTCTCTGGTTTGCTGCAAGTCATAAAGAGGATAGTATTACTGCCACCCAATGGATATTTTAGTACTAGCCAATCCACAGACAGCCACCGCTTTGCGAGTTTTAGTTTGCAGAAGACCCGAAGAGGAAGAACGGTAGCCTGGGAATCTTTCGGAAAGGACCCTGGAAGGAATAATGGAATCTGTCCTAAAAGGCAAAAGTGGCCCAGCCAATTGGACGTTTACCCAGGCTTGCATTAGCCACCTTAGAATTGTGATTACATTTTTCTAGGCAGCTGAAAGGTACAGAGAGCGATGCCTAGTGTGACACTCATAATATCCTCCTTTCGTCTTTCTCTTTGAAGATTTATTATAGCGCGCGATATCTCTCTCTCTCTCTCTCTCTCTCTCTCCTCTCTCTCTCTCTCTCTCTCTCTCTCTCTCTCTCCCTCTCTCCCTCCCTCCCTCCCTCCCATTAAAAAAGTGGGTGGTGGTGTCATGAAAACACAGCTCAGTGTCTCAGGTGGCGAGGTGATAATCGTTCCTAAAGGGCAGTTTTACAAAGTGCTTCTCTCTCTCTCTCTCTCTCTCTCTCTCTCTCTCTCTCTCTCTCTCTCTCTCTCTCTCTCTCTCTCTCTCTCTCTCTCTCTCTCTCTCTCTCTCTCTCTCTCTCTCTCTCTCTCTCTCTCTCTCTCTCTCTCTCTCTCTCTCTATTGGTATGTAAACTGTAAATCCTTCAGGCCGTTACCCTCCCAGCAGGAGCTGCCTCAGTTTGTGGAGGAGCAAAATCTTCCCACCGAGACAGGGGTTTGGGAAAAGAATGATTGTGGTGGGCTCCCCTTGTGCGGAGGGGGGCAGGGAAGGGGATAAGGGAGTGGAAGAGAAACCGGTAGGACGAGATTGAAGAGGATCTTCTTCCCGAGCAGTAAAGATTTCCATACTTCATTAGAGTTCGCTGCATTTATCTGAAACGGATTTGTGTTGAGGGATGAGGGACAAAAGTAGGTACTTGTAGATAAATAAGGGAGTTACTTATTTTAAAGTTCCTTGCCTTTGTACTTTGAGGTGTTATGAAACTCTTAATTCTTTGATTCCCAGACTTTAATGTATGCACTTTCATTCTGTAGATGTAGTGTGAGGCCTGAGAGCCTGAGTCTCTAATAAGCTGGTCCGTGGACTATAATAATGCTGTCAGATTACATCCTGCACTTAGAGTAGCCAGCCCCTGGGAAGTGAGCGTATTTACACTGCAGCCACAGCATTAGGTTCTGACAATGGAGTAAACAGGGAAAGAGGATAGATAGATAAATGCTTTTCTGCCACCATCCCTCCCTCTCCCCACACTTGAGCTATTCCCATCCACCCACTGCAGTGCCAACTCTGAAAACCTTAACTGCTGAACAAGATTTTCCTCAAGCTTTTTAACTGGAAGACTTCACAAGATACACCAAAGGTAGAAAAGTAAATAGTCAAAGCAACCTTGGACCTTGAGAACTCTGTCTTCATATAATTCAGGGACTAAAGCACAAATTGGAGGTAGATTAAGCACTTGAAAAAATGAGAAGAAATGGGGGGGGGGATTAATTAGAAGCTAGAATACTAAGTCAGGGCACAGGTGAGGGTGAATGAGGGCCCGGAGACAGAAAGGGAAGGTCAATCTATATTTTGATGGAATGTCAATTAAATTGAAGTTGTAAACCATAAACCAAGGTGAGGGAAGATGTGCTAAAAGGCTAGTGCATTTTCAAGACTGACATGGTTTTTCTGAAGGGATTTAACCCAGGCTAACCTCTAGTGTGTATGTGGCTCTCTTCTGCCTGTACCCTTCACATATGCTACAATTTGGAAAAATGTAATGGCTAGAGTTTGAAGAGAAAATTCTCCCACTCCTTCCTAGTGAATTATCCATTTATACTATACCTTGTTGCACAGTCGTTTTGCTGACCCACTTAAGTGAAGAACTAGTCTTCCAATGTACTGGAGGGGGTATAATTAACACACTTAGTTGCTTCAAGCAAAGTTTAGACGTACAAGTCTTAGGTTATAGGCTCAGATCTGAGCTAAAATTCTGTTCCTAACTTGGCATAATTATCCATAGGAATCACTAATCTTTCCTGACCTCATTTTCTTTCTTTATCTGTAAAACGGTAGTTAAAATGAACCTGTTGCCAAGGTGTGGTTCAGGTCTGCATGAGTGAAAATTCAAATCCTGCATTTGCAATGTTTCTGCAAGTCAGTTTGTTACCCACACAGGGCACAACTTGAAATATTACCTTGACATGGGCTACAAAGAGCTTCAGAAAGCCTGGAGAAGTGCTTTAAAGACACAGGTGAATGTTGGACCATTCCAAACCTATTGAAAGAGATGATTTTTCAAAGCTTTCTCTTCAGATCAAGAAAGGGAAGTGTTTGTTTGAATCTGAGGTGAAGCATTGTCTATTCCTGGATCTTACAGAGCCAACTGTGGGCCTCACTGTTTGTTGCCATGGGATCCTCTTTGTGCGAACTGTCTTGAACTGTGTGGGAACATTTTCCTCTTGCCTCCCTTCAGTTCTCTAACTCTTCTGAAGATATGTGTCAGAACAAAATGTGGCTGCATTATTGCCAATTAAGACTAACAGCAGCTGCAAGGTGCATCTAATTAAGAAATTTAATTACTTCACTGAATTCTCATTTGCAGATGTTTGAAGCATTAAACAATATATTGTGATTTTATTTTAAAATTTGGAAATGGCTGACCTCTCCCCACATTGGGGAAGAAACAAACCCGGGACCCATGATGGGTCTTAAAAAGAAGACTTTAAGCCAGGTATGGTAGAACATATCTAAAATTTCACCATTCAGGAAGCTTAGGCAAGAGGACATAAATTCCAAAGTAGCTTGAGCTACACACTGATTTCAAGGCTATTTGGTGACATAGTAAGATATTCCTTTTAAAAAGTGCTTTGACATGAAAAGTATGTACTCTGATAAACTGCAAATATGTGATAATATATTCAGAATAGGGTAATAGTATGCATAACCATAAAGGTTTCTATTTTATTTTACCAAAGGACATCTCAAAACACTGAAAAAGGAGTTCACTATTTGAGTAGAGTACTTGCACATTATATAGCTCTTAAATGTTCTTGTCTTTGCCAGTAACAGGATAGTTAACAGTAAGTTTGGTGCTGCATTATGGGAATTGTAGGCTATAATGCAAAGCATTATGGGGTTTGTAGTAAAAACTGGCTGCAGATTAATCCATGCTTGTAGCTTTTCTCAGTGGAAGAAACTGCTGTTCTATTTTCTGATAATAAGGAAAAGATGGTTAAGATACTTTATAACATTAATGAAACAAAGTTCAGTATTAGTAGAATGATGAAATTAGAGTTTAGATACAATAGTATTGTGACTGAGGTGAATACAATAAGATCTATTTTCTCAGCCAAAAAACAAACTGAGTGAGCAGCTTCTTGATATTAATATATTATAGCTGAGGTTACAAAAGCACAATCACATTCATTGTTTAGAGGTAATAAGTGAGAAAATGTTAAGCTTAGTGTCTATGAAAGAAAATAGTAAGCAGTGGAAAAGAATTATATTGGTATCTGAAGTATAACGTCCCACTTTTTACACCATACCTCAAAGATGTGGAGAACAGTTTTATTGAGCCCCTTTTAGGTGCCTTATTATATAAAACTACCATGCATATTCAGAGTAGGTCCTCAAAGCTAGAAATGTATTTGAAGTGACTTATTTCACTCAATTCACATTTAATTAATTATGGTAATTTATAAAGTAAATTATAATTCAGTTCATTTTTGTATGTAGGTGATTCTACATGTATAAACACAATTTGCAGAGGTTTTCATTTAACTCTGTTGCCATTTTATTTCAAAGTTCAATAAGCATTTTCTGTATGATAGGAATTCACAGTCTAACTTCCCAGTAATGCTGAATGAAATCAACCCCCCTTTTGTTATAAAGACCTAAAACACAACTCTTCAAAGCCCGTGAAAGTCACCATTATCATGCTAAGTTACTTAGATGGTACTTTATACCTGAGGTTTCTTCCTTCTCTCTTTTGCTTCTTAAAGAGGCCTCCATGCACAAAAACGTGGCAGGAAAGCAAACTATTATTACAGACGTGAATAAATGCACAATCAAGTGCCCTCCATTTTCAGGCCTTTTGCCAGCAACATTCATTTGAGCCCACCACCACATATTCTCAAATGAGGTACAGACAAAGACTTGAACGTTTCAGCAAAATTCCACCATAATGTTAGGAAATAATAAAGAATGTGATGAAAAAAGCAAACAACAACAGGAAAGAAAAATGCCATGGCTGCTTTTTTTTTTTCAGATTTCTAAGTTTTGAATCATAAAAATACACAAATATATATCTTCGTGAATGCAGTTTACATTATTGTTCATACTGTGCATATTTCTTTTATGGTCATAAAAATAAAAGCAATGCCCCAAATGAAACACTATGTACATAAGCGATGCAAATGCATCCCCGGTGGAAAGCCGGCTGGCTGCTGGTGGGAGGGTATATTTATACAGTGCCTTTCATTTGGAAGGTTCCCAAAATGATTTGCAAACTGTATATAGAGGAATTGCTCACCATGGAAATTCACCCACTTCCAGGAGAGAATGCAGAAGTCATTCCATGCTGACAACCAGTTTAAATAAAACCGCAGAACAGGATTTCAGGTGGGTAAAACACTCAAATGATAATCGATTCTGGAAATACACACTTAATACCCACTATGTGCTGGATACTGCTTGAGATTTGAAGAGTATCTTTTGGGGTATATCTAATCAGGCTTCCCGTTTTCCCAAAGCTTACACATAATTGCAATTTGACTGGAACTTCAGAATTAAAAGCTCTATTTCCTGGTAAATTTCTGATCTCTGCAAATAGTTCCACAGAAATAGAATACTTGCTACTTTTGTGTTTATTTATATCTCCCTTCATGGTATCCAGGACACATGACCTATGGCAATACTTTCCACTTTAGTCTTAATACACATCAAAAAGAAAGAGAGAGAGAAAAGACTTCTGA